TGTCTATGCCGATGTACATGTATATGTAAATATAGATGTATATGTATATGGATACGCTGATGTATCGGTATGTGTGAATGTATGTATGTATGTATGTATGTATGTGTGTACGTATGTATGTATGTATGTTTGTCTCTATATATATATATATATACATATTTGTATGCTGTTAGGTATACGTATATGCATTTGTATGTGCATATGTATATGTGTCTGCATATGTGTAGTCATATGTATGTGTCTGTGTATGTCTATGTATAAATGCATGTGTCCATGTACATGTGTATGTATATGTATATGCAAATGTATGTGTGTACATATATGTGTATACACACATACACATGTGTATGTATGTATGTATGTATGTATGTATGTATGTATGTATGTGTGTATGTATGTATGTATGTATGTTTGTATGTATGTATGTATGTATGTATGTATGGATGGATGGATGTATGTATGTATGTATGTATGTACGTCTGTTATATATATATATATATATATATACTTGGGCACGAGGCGGGGGGGGCCGTGAGTGGGGGCACCGGGCCGCCAGGGACGCTCCCAGACGGCCCAAGACAGCCCCAACACAGATGAAAAGGGCCGCGAGAGGCCTCCAGGAGGCCTGCAGTCGCGGAAATATTGTTCTAACACGCCCAAGATGGCTTCCAGATGGCCCACAAGGCTTCCAACACGGCCCAAGGGGTGTCCAAGAGCACTTCCAAAAGGGCACCCAAGAAACCACAATCATTGATTTCCAATAGGTTTTTGGTGCATTCCAGCGTTTCTGCTTTTTCTGCTTCCCGACGCTCCAAGACGGTCCAGGACACACGGAAATCGTCCGAACAGGCTCCCACGAGGGCGCCGAGACGGCCCAGGGCCGCCCCTAGACGTCCCAAGAAAGCCCCAACACATATGAAAAGGGCCGGAAGAGGCCTCCAAGAGGCCCCGAAACGAGGAACGTATCGCCCGAACACGCCCAAGATGGCCTCCTGATGGCCCACAAGGCTTCCAACACGGCCCAAGGGGTGTCCAAGAGCACTCCCAAAAGGGCCCCCAAGAAGCCACAATCATTGATTTTCCTTAGGTTTTCGATGCATTCCAGCGTTTTTGCCTGTTCAGCTTGCCGACGCTCCAAGACGGTCCTGGACACCCAAATATCGCCCCAACAGGTCCCCATGAGGGCTCCGAGACGCCCCAGGGCCGCCCCCAGACGGCCCAAGACGGCCCCAACATACATGAACAGGGCCGCGCGAGACCTCCAAGAGGCCCCGAAACGCGGACATATCGCTCGAACACGCCCGAGATGGCCTCCAGATGGCCCATGAGGCTTCCAACACGGCCGAAGGAGTCCCCAAGAGCATGTCCAAACAAGTCAAACTTTTTGATTTTCCTGAGGTTTTTGATTTATGCCTGTTCAGCGCACGGCTCCGGACACCCAAATATCGCCCCAACAGGCCCCCACGAGGGCGCCGAGACGGCCCAGGGACGCCCTGCCGCGGAGCCCGGGACGGGGCCCTAGGACAAGAGGCCCTGGGGGCCCTGCCGTGGCGCCGGGGGCTCTTTAAAATCGCCCGAAGACGGCCCCGGATCGCCAGAAATGGCGCTTCCAGACCGCGCAAGCCATTTTGGCTCAAGTTTGGCGCAAGCACGTCATTCTTTGAGTCATCCGCGTATGCGGCAGCCCAAGATTTAGGTGCCTCTGCTTTATTGCGGCGTTATGCCTACGCATCGGCTGCAAGCATGGAGTACGATCAGCATCTTTTATTATGTGTATCACGACGGACTGGTTATGGGTGCAGAAAATACTAAGTCGAAAGAGAATGGCGCAACTGTCGTAATTCACGTTGGACCCTCCAAGACTGGTACGAAAACAGTTCAACATGAGTTGTGCGACCAGGCGTCCCTGCTGGAAAAAGAAGGTTGGACATTCCTGCGCACTAAGCAATTCGGAAGCTTAGCTAAAGGCTCGCAGGGAAAGATTCAAGTCGTCAACGTAGCTGCGTGCTATGACGAGATGTTTTTGCCTTTTGTTGTAAATCAAACCCAAACTTGTTTGGATTAGCTAGAGTACATTGGCAAGCTCAGCGGTACCTCCCATCACGTGGTGATGTCTAGTGAGGCTTTCGCCCGTCGGACACTCCAGATCGCGCAGCTCGCCTCTGATTTAAGGCACGTCGCTACTAAAATCGTCGTGGTTTATCGACCTTTCTACGAATGGATCGCAAGCGTCTGCCGGCAGAATAATGCAAGAAGAGGCATTTCAAAAGCGGGTTTCGCTTCTTGGTTGACCGATTCAGTAATGGAGGAGTACGCAGCAAATCTTTCTTCGACGTCAGTGTACAGTAAATGCGCGGCCCATTTTTCTGACGTAGTGATTCACAGCTCGAACTCCTCTCTTTTGACAAAGATTGCGTGCGATGACCTTGGAGTTCCGATGGCTTGTGCTTGGTTCGGGAGATCAGAGATGATACACAAAAACGTCAAAGACAGAGAAGATGCAACAGGTGAATGTCTCAGCCCTGCACAGCGGCAAACAATGGAAACCATATCAATTGATCTTCATCGGAAGGCCTTTGGCATCTTGGCACCTTTTCCGGCTTCCGATTTCCATGACCAGCTTTCCAAATGTTTCGGCAACCGTTGAGCTAAAGCTTGGAGAGTCACGCCAGCAAAAGCCCAATGCAAAACCGAAACCGAGAGGATCCAGCACGCTAGGCACCTCTGCGATGAACTTCCTTGTCCTTGCCTTAGATGCTGTGGGCACTTCGTCGGAGGGTAGGCCCGCATCAGCCAGACCACTGCTGCTGTTGCACCTCGCCTTGCCCTTGCGTAAAAAAAACGCCCTAAGAGGCTTCCAAGATGCCTCCCAAGGAGCTCCAGGAGGCACAAATAACTTATTGTCCTTTGGTTTGTTGAAGGATTTTCGAGTTCTCGCCTCTTCAGTTTCCCGACGCTCCACGACGGCCCAAGAGGCCCCAACGTCCGCTCCAAGACAGCCCCAGAGGTTTCGAAGACGGCCACAAGACAACCCAAGAGGGCCCCAAGACGGAGCCAGAGGCGCCCAAGACAACCCGAGAGAGCCCCAACACGGCCCCAAGAGGAAGCCAAGAGGGATAACACTAACCGAAAATCCGAGACCTCCACCCCCAGAGGCTTTGAGGAGCCCCCGAGAAGCCCCCGACAGGCCCCAAGAGGCCTTGAGAAGCGCCCCAGGGGGCCGAATAGGTTCCAAGATGCCCCCCACGAATGCCCCAAGAGGCAAACATCATTTTCGAGGTTTCAGCCTTTGGGCGTCCCGATGCTCCAAGACGGCCCAAAAGGCCTCCAAGACCGTTCCAAGATAGCCCAAGAGGCCTCCAACAGGGTCCCACGACGGCCCACGAGGGCCCCAAGAGGGTGACTGATGCGCCCAAGACGGCCCGAGAGGGCACCAAGACGGCCCCAGAGGGGCCTAAGAGGGGTAAGACGATCCGAAAATCCGAGCCTTCCACCCCGAGAGGCCGAGAGGCTCTCAGGAAGCCCCGAGAGGCCCCCAGTAGGATCCAAGAGGCCCTCAAGAAGCTCCCCAGAAGGCCGAAGAAGTTCCAAGAGGCCTCCCAAGAAGGCCCCCAGAGTTGGTTTTGATGGATTTTCGAGTTTTCAGCCTTTTGGCATCCCGATGCTCCAAGACGGCACAAGAGGCCCCCAAGACCGCGCCAAGAGCCGAAGAGGCCTCCAAGAAGGCCCCAAGACGGCCAACGAGGGCCCCAAGACGGGGCCTGAGGCGCCCACGACGGCCCGACAGGGCCCCAAGACGACCCCAAGAGAGGCCCAAGAAGGGGAACGCGAACCAAGAGCAGAGCCTTCCGCCCTAAGAGGCCCACAGGAGGCTCCAAGAGTCCACAAGTGGTCCGACGCGGCCCCCCAAAGCCTCCCAAGAGCCCCAAAAGGCCCCCAGGAGACGTAGAAGGGGCCCCAAGATAGCCGAACAGTGCCCTCGATGCATCACAATTGCCTCCAGGAGGCCCCCGGGAGGCTCCCTGATTGCCTCAATGTGGCCCTAGGTGGCCTCAAGTCGGGCTTCCACGCAGCCAAGACGGCCAATGACGGCTTCAGATTGCAGAAGATCGCCTTCCGATTGCCCCGAGAGCCTCGAGGATGCCCCCAAGGGACCCCAAGAAGCCCCAAGTCGCCCCCCGAGAAGCACCCAAGAGGCGCCTCCAACAGCCAATTGAGGAAGCACGAAGAACCCTCCAGAAGCCCTTCAGATACCCCCACGAAGACCCAAGAGGTTCCCAAGAGACCCTCATGAGACACGACTATGTCACGCGCCTGGGCTTGCTAGCGCTGTCCAAGATCTTCCAGTGCCCCCCCAGCCTGGGCGAGAGCCTGAGCGCGCGAAGCGCGCGCGATGGTTCTCGTGTATATATATATATACACATCAGGTGTTCCAGGTCCATCGCCATTTTGGCTCAAGTCGTTTAGGTTCCAGCCATCTTGGCAGAATCGACCACGGATTCAGATCGGTTCCCCTAGGCGAGTTCGCGGAGAGCCTGGATGTCTTCGAGCGAGTGCGCAGACGCAACCAGGGAAGTGCTGCTCTCCGGCGCCTCTCCCGAGCTCTCCCCGGACACCGACAACGAGCTAGACGAGGATCTCCTGTCGAGCACATGCACGAGCAGGTCCACCTCGCAGGAGAGCAGCTCTTCGATCCCACAGGCCGCGCACCATGCCCTACGTCGGATGCAGGCGCTCAGTCTATCGTGGAGCGTGCTGCTCATGGCAAACACGTCTGTGGTGGTTCCCGAATCCTACGCGCTTATGGTGGACTCTGGCTTCGGAGCTGCTGCTTCAGGGTGGCTGATTGGCAGTGGTTGGGCGCTTCAAGCAATCGCGGTATTGGCTCTGAAACCATGTTCGGCTTCGCTGCCGTATGAGATGAAGAAGGCTTTGGTGGTCGTTGCAGCTTTCTTTCTGGGGAGCTTGGCACTCATGTACGGGATCGCGGCAAACGAGTTCTATGGACACGCCCAGCTTCCCAACTTCATCCGGATCTGGGGCATGATTGTGTCACGTCTCGGCATGGGTTTGGGCGCAGGCGTCGGCTTGCTTTTCTTGATCTCCCCCTCCCTGGACGTGACGCCTGCCCACGAACTCGTGGTGTTCAATATATTTCGGGGTTGTGCGTTGGCCATCGGGATCGGGATGGGACCGCTGTTCAGTGCTTGCATATGCTTTTCGTTCGAGATACATGGTGTCCGCGACCGTGCTGCGGTGCCCATGTATTGGTTTGCAGGGATCTGGGGCGTCATGGCGTTGATCTTGTCTATGCTCCTGCCAGTCGAGATCGAAGAGCTCATGTCTGTCAAAAAGCAGCATGGGGTTGAGGATGAGGTTGCCAACGTGGGCTTGTTGAATTCTGACGAGCAGCCCCTTCAGTGCGAGAAGCTTCCAAGATCCCAGCGAATCCAGTTGTTGAGCGCGGGTCTCCTCTATGGCACTGAGAGGGCGTTCATGGTTTCGGCATCGGAAGCTGCTGGCGTCTTCCTGCTGGAAAGCGAGTTGAATTGGGCCCCTCAGAATGCAGGATTCGCTGTTGGCATCATGTACATCGTAGCTGTCCCTATCAGTTTGCTTGCGAACTATGCCAGGATGGGAAAGGTTGTGAACGAGCGGCGGCTCATGCAAATCAGTGCTGCTGTGTGCCTTGCATCCACATTGCTGTTCTTTCCACAGGTCACACGCCTATTGCCCTTTGTGTGTGTGGGGGGGGGGAAAGGGGGGGCAGCACGCAGTTGCTTGTGCGATTCTAGTGGCAGATGGTCTCGTATTTGCTTCAGGATACTTGACCAATGGCATTGTGGACGGTTTTGCTTGCAAGGTAACCATTCCAAATTCGATGTTTACGGTGGAGAATTACACTATCAGCGGGAATGTTCTGCAGAACACGGTTGCGAGATTGATCGCCCCCGTGCTTGCAAGAACGCTCTTGCATCAAAATGGTCGAGGTGTCTACGCACTCTTCCAGCTGCTGGTTGCTTCATGTGGCGTCGCCACTTGCAACAGAGTCGCGGGCATCCTCGCCGCGTCCTACGCGAACAGAAAGTTCCAGGCGATCTACAACAATATAGCCGAGGGCATTGGAAACACCCCTCTGTTGGCAACCAGGCTGGCCGAAATGTTTGGTTTTCGTGGAGTCGTGTACCTGAAGCTTGAGGCATGCAACCCTTCTGGCAGCATCAAGGATCGTTCAGCTGCGTTCATGATACGCCAGGCTGAACTTCGTGGGGAATTGGTGCCTTTCAGTGGCCAGCACGTGATTGAGTCTTCGAGTGGAAATCTGGCTAAAGCATTGGCCATGATTTGCTTTCAGCGGGGCTATAATTTCACTGCTGTCTGCGATAGCTTCGGAGCGAGCAAGAATAAGATGGCAGAAGCATTTGGTGCCATTGTCCATGTGGTGGACGGCCCACCGACTGCAGACCAGGTCGACCTTCGTGAAGCACGACGCAGGCATTGCCGCGGATTGTGTGCCAAGAGCCCGTCATCTGTCTACATCGACCAGTATTACAACCCAGACAACGAAATCGCATATTTGAAGACCTTGGCTCCTGAGATTCATTCTCAGCTCCCAGACCTTGACGTCCTTTCAATTTGCACCGGCACCGGAGGCACATCGAGCGGATGCAGCCAGTACTTCCGGGAGCAGATCCCTGAGGTCAAGATCATTGCGTCCGAGAAGGAAGGGTCCACCATGTTTGCAGATGTGAGCGCTCGTGCAAAGTGCGTGGTTCCAGATGGCACAGGATACCATTGCGCTCTACCCAGGGTGAAGAAGGCCCTCCAGAACGGCGAAGTGCACGAAGTCTATGTCGTTAGAGAGAAGGATGCGATGCTGACAAGCGTTTTCGTCTCTCGCGTGACAGGAGCTGCGGTGGGGCCGTCTGCCGGGAACGCCATCTTCAGCGCCCTCTGTCACATGGCTTGTGCCCAACGTGAGGGAAGCACTGGTTTCGCAAAGGTTATTGCGATTTGCGCGGATGGTATGCAGCCGTACAAGGACCAGGTGGACGAGTTCATGGCGAAGGTCTTCGGTGCCGACCTGACAACAGACGACATGGGAGACATTCTGCGCCAGAGGGTCTGCGAGGTGTCCCGGCAATGCGTCTATGGAGAAGGTATGATCTCACCAACCAGCATCGCCTTCAAGGAACAGGTGGACGCATCGCGAGATCGGTAGGGAGCACTGGCATCACACAAATCGGACGATATCGGTCGTGCTATGCCAGTTTAACGGACGAGCTCATACATGCAGCGCCGGGGGTCGCGCTGGATGTGCTTCCGCGGACTACTCGCGGTCCTAGCTGGCCCAACATCCACATCGAAGACGCCTTCGGTGAATCACCGCCGCTCCCTGTCTTTCCTCTTGGAGCTCTCTTGGAGCATCTTGGGGGACTCTTGGGCTGTCTGGAGGGCATCTTGGGCCGTTTTGGGGCTGTGTTAGCCGTCTTGGAGGCGTTTAGGGATTGTCTCGGAGGCCATCTTGACTGTCTTACTTGGGCAACGGGAGATCTCTCGCCTGGTGCTTTCCGTGTGGTCGGCGGGCCGGGCCGAAGTCTGGCCATGCAATGGGGCCATTCGTTCCCCCAGCCGTTGTGGAAGCTCTTGTGGGCCTCCTCGGGGCCTCCTGGGCACTCTTGGGGCCTCTTCGGGGCCTCCTGGGATCTCTAAGGGACCTCTTGGCCTTCGGAGGCTATCTCGGAGCCCTCTCCTGGCAGTCGTGGGTCCTCCTTTGGGCGCTTGAAGGCCGCCTTGGAGGTCTATGGGGCCGTCTTGGGGCCGTCTTGGGGGACTCGTGGGGCCCTCTGGGGCTGTCTTGCGGGCAACTTGGGGGCATCCAGGGCCGTCTTTAGGCGATCTTGGGGGGCTTACGTGGCCGTCTTGGGGCGTCGGAAGCCCGAAAAGGCGAGAACGCGAAAATAATTGAAACAACGATGATGAGGAGGAGGAGGAGGAGGTCCCTTGTGAGCCTCTTGGGGCACTCTTGAGATCTTCTGGGAGCTTCCTGGGGGCCTAGTGGAGGCCTTTTTGGGGCCGTTGGGAGCTTCTTGGAGACCTCTTTGGTCGTCTTAGGGCGTTCCTGGTCCGCCTGACGCCGTCGGAAGCCGTCTTGGGGGGCAATCTGGACCGTCTTGGGGCCTTCTTGACGCGGTTCAGGGCCATCTTAGAGGCCATCTTGGACGTCTTCGAGGCGTATTGGTCCGTCTTGGGGCTTTTTTGGGGCCGTCTTGGGGGCCCTTTGGGCCGTCATGGGGCCATCTTGGAGGCCTTTTGGCTGGGGGCGATACTGGGGGCCACTGTCCAAATCCGGTTAACACCTACTGGGAGCGTTGATTATTCAGGGTCCTTCGGGCCTTCCTGGAGGACCTCTTGGAGGCTCTTGGGCCGTATTCGGGGCCTCTTGGGGGCCTCTTCGGCTGTCTTGGGCCATCTTGAGGCAATCTCGCGCTGTCTTGGGTGCATCTTGGGCCGTCTTGGAAGCGTCTCGGGCCGTCTTGGAGGCTGTCTTGGGGCCATCTTGGCCGTCTTGGAGGCCACCTTGACCGTCTGGGAGGGCATCTTGGGGTCGTCTTGGGTCATCCTGGGCCGTCATGCGGCCATCTTGGAGGCCTCTTCGGCGATCTTGGGGCGATCGTGGGGGCCTCTCGGGCCGTAGGAAGCTGAAAAGGAGCAAAAGTTAAAATCCTTCAACTACTGAAAGAAAGCTCATTCTTTTGGCTTTGGGGGCCTCTTGGGCTGTCTTGCAATCTTGAGGCCCTCGTGGACCGTCTTGGGTGCATCTGGGGCCTTCTTGGAAACGTCTTGCTGCCATGTTTGGCGCTCTTAGGGTTATCTTGGCCGTCTTGGAGGCTACCTTAGGCGTCTTGGAGGCCTGTTGGGCCATCTTTGGTCCCTCTTGGGGCCGTTTTGGGGCCCTCTTGGGCTGTCACGGGGCCATCTTGGAGGCCTCTTGGGCCGGCTTGGGCCGTCGGAGACCGAGCTGGAGCAACTGCCAGCATTTTGGTTAAATTATCGAAGGAAAGCCATCGAGTTTGGCTTCGTCGCGCCTTCCTTCAGGACCTCTCGGGGGCGCTTGGGCCGTCTTGGGGGCCTCTTGGGGGCCTCCTGGGCCGTCTTGGGCCGTCTTGGGCCATCTTGAGGCAATCTCAGGCCGTCTTGGGTGCATCTTGGACCGTCTTGGAATGCCCTTGGGACAGTCTTGACAGTCTCCGCCCGCCCCGTCCGCCCGCCGGCCCCCGCCCTCCTCCCCCCCCCCCCGCCGCCTCCGCCGCCGCCCCCCCCCTTCACGCTCCCACCTATACCCCGACGACTGACAGCGGACCGACGCCCGACGGCCCACGCACGACCCCACCGCTCCTGCCTGTCCTGCCCTGCTGCTCAACCACAACCGCCCCAGACCCCGACGCCTTGCCCTGCCCCCCGACGACAACGACCGCCACCGGCGCCCACGACCACGACCGCACCCGTCGCCCTGCCCTGCCCTGCCGGCGCCCCCCATCCTCGTTGCCCTGGCCGTGACGACGACGACGACGGCCCCCGACCTCCCCCGACCGCCCCTCCGTCCCTGCTTGCTCTGCGCTGCTTCTGCTGCTCCCCTCCCTCCTCCTGGTCGGCGTTTGTTTGCTGTGTGTTGTTTTTCGCCCGTCTCCTTCTCCTCCTCCTCCCCCTCCTCCTCCTCCTCCTCCTCCTCCTCCTCCTCCTCGTTCTCCTCCTCCTCCTCAGTCTGGAGGTGGAGGAGGAGGCCGACGACGACACGGTCGAGGCTGGGCAAAACAGCGATGACGATCTAATTCCAGCGGATTCCTGTTGTGGTCCTCAGGCTGGCCTCGGAGAGGCAGGCGTGGGTGGCCGCCGCGGTCGGTGGAGGCGTCTTCGCTGCCGGTGGGTGGGGCGAAGGTGCGGTGGCGGAGAAATAGCCGGCTCCTTTTTTGTTAGCATGCCTTCCCTCCTCCAAATTTGCCTTTCCCTTTCGCAGCGGCTCCTTCGAGGCGGCGGGTTTGCTGGTAGCTCGCGTTTTCTGCGAAACGCGCTGATTATATGATTCCCCTTCCCCATGTCCCACTTCCTTCGCTCCCTCTTCCTCCTCCAAGCCGAACCCTTCAGATGACCATGGTGGTTCTCGCATATCGGGGGGGGGCACTCGGCCGCAGCTTGCGCACCGATTCTGAAAAGAACATGGTCCGCAGTTTTCAAGGCGTTCGATTTTTGTCGCAATGTCGAAGTGTGGCAGAATGTCGATACCTGCCGAGTGACCACATGCCCGTGCTGCGAGCCAATACGCGAGGGGGTTTGATCTTTCCTACGCACGTCGGAATGATGTATGGTCGTTCCCCGTTCGACGAAAGTCTCCTCAGCAGGCTGGGTGGCATCTTTTTTTGAGTTCGGCGGGAGCGTTTCCGCCGTCCCCCAGGGCGCCTGGGTCAGGGGCAATCGCCCGCAGGCGGGCCTGGGTTTCAAGCTTTCTCTCGGGCTGTAGATTTGGGGGATGCCAGCCCGTCGATTTTGGATCCCTTGGGGGCCGTTCGCTGTCCCAGCCGCGTGGCCAATAGCGCCACAGCTTGGGCTGGTCTGAAACTGACAAACAATGTTTTGCAGCCGTCTTGGAGGCCATCTTGGGTTGTCTTGTCTTGGGGGCGATTGGGCTAATTGAGAACGGATTTTCTGCGGCCTTTCGGGTGGCCAGCATTTGGGGCCGAGACCCGTAGAACGGCAAAAAACAATTACCGAACATGCAGCACGCCGTGCACAGTTGTGGCAAGCCACAGAGGGAGGCGGATGTCTAGTGACCTTCGGACCATCCCGCCACCGTGCCTGGTTTGTCGATCAAAGGCACCTGGGATGCTTGCGGGGATCCCTTGGGGGGCCTCTCAGAAGTCCGGGGGCTTCTTGGGGCCTGAATGGGGCCTTTGGGGTCTCGTCGGTAGCCTCCTGGGGGCCTGCTGGCAGTTTCGGGGGCCATTTTGGGACGCAGGGCTCGACATGTCGGTTCGTGTTCCCCCTCTGAGGCCTTTCCTGGGCCCATCTTGGGGCCCTTTCGGGCTGTCTTTGGGACCAGGGGCCGTCATTGGGCCATCTTGGGCCGTCTGGGGTCGCTCTTGGGGGCCTCTTGGGCCGTCTTGTGGCGATCTTGGGGGCCTCTTGGGCCGTCTTGGAGCGTCGAAAGCCAGACCAGGCGAGAACCTTCAGAAACTTCTATGATTGGGGCCTGGTGGGGCTCCCGTGGGGGTCCTCTTGGAGGGTTCCTGGACCGGCTGGGGGCGATGTGGAGCATTTTGGAGCGTTCCTGGGCCGTCCTGGAGGCCTCTGCGACCCTCCTGGGCGCTTCTCGGGCCCCTCTTGGGGTCCGTCTTGGGCCCCCCGGCCTCGGGCACATCCCCATGCGGCCGACTCTGGGGGCGCCGGGAAGATGTTTGGGAGTTTGGGCCTCGGCCCAGTATCTGCAGCACCCAGAGATCCAACGCATTGAAAACATCAAGGCGCAGGGTTTTCGCAACTTTCGGCCTCTAGGGGCCCTCGCCGGGCCCCAGGATTGTAACAAAAACGACTCAGGATGAAAAGCCGGTCCCAGGGAATGGGTCGAGGCTTCCGGGGACCCCGTATAGGAAAAATCACGGCATGGGATCTCTGGGTACTCATTACGGAGAATTCGAAGGGACCTGGGAGAACGCTGGGATTGGAAAGCAAACCTTCCAGATGTCTGGAGTGCAGGGTCTCACCCCCCTTCCTCAGGGCTACCTCCGCCCAGTGGTGGACCTTAGTGGCTGGCGGGTGGGCACCCGCAGAGGGAGCGGGAAGGTTACATTCGGCGGCGCGCCCAGGGTGGAGCGAGATGGAGAGGGCCTTCTCAGAAGACTCGGAAGTCCCCCAGCCTCCTGAGAAGTCTTCTGAGCCCGGAGACACAGGATACTTCTCAGAAGGCCAGGGGGCCTCTCAGAAGCCCCGCCGCCTTATGAGAGGGCCCTCTCCTTCTGACTTCCCCCCTCGCTCGCCGCCGAGGCACCCCCTCCGCAAGTCAAGGGAAGAAAAAACACCACCCAGACGCGTTTACGAAACGGTCCTGGACGTTTACGAAACAGCCCTACCCTGTTCGATTTCTTCTTTGGGTGCGTTTATTAAACGGCTTCGCTCGTCGGGGTGGTTGTAGATCCGTTGTCGTGATTTTTTCAATGCGGGACCCCCAGAAGTCTCGACCCATTCCCCGGGACCAGTTTTCCATCCTGAGGCGTTTTTTGACAGTCCTGGGGCCTGGCGAGGGCCCCTAGAGGCCGAAAGTTGCGAAAACCCTGCGCCTTGATGTTTTCAATGCGTTGGATCTCTGGCTTGTCGGGGAGGCTCCTCTGGGGGTGGAGTTCTTGCCCTCTGGCAAGGTTACCTGCACCGGCACGAGATCCTGTCGCTCACCGGGCAGGCCCGCCCGCTGGTCGACAGGGAGCCCGCCGCCGCTCCTCCCGCCCCCGGCCCCCGCCAGTACTGAAGGCTTAATCCAGGCATCCTACAAGCCTCGTCAAAAATAAACAGAAGACTTCTCAATTCGGTCATTGCGGGGTCAGCTCTACTCCAATGCTGACGGATGCCTGTTGACTTGGACGCGGTGTTGTCAAAAAACCGACCCCACCCTCTCAGCATTGAAGAGCGCGCTTTCTGACAAGTGCCCGAAAGCATCGTGCTCCAGGATCTCAACTTCAATTTCTGGATATTTTTGACGAGCCTTGTAGATGAGGTCCGAGTAGATGGTGTCGGAAGATCGCGTCGCCTCGCCGGTGCATCGCCGATGCGGCTCGATGTGGAGCCCGATTTGCTTCACGTCGACATCGCCGATGCATCGCCGATGCATCGCCGATGCATCGCCGATGCATCGGCGATGCGGCGATATTCTCCGACCCCATCTACTTGGGACCCCATCGGGGATGCCTCTGCTTAAGTCGGACCTGTCCCTCTACAGGAGTATTCAAAAATAGTCAAAGCATAGTCTGGGGACGACTTTTGTTTTTGACTATTTTCGGTTTCTATGTTTTTTTCGGCATAGTTTCTGTTTTTCTTCCACAAGCCGCCTGTAGGAGGCCATGCCCGACCTAACAGTACGACAGGCTCACGCGGCTTTGCGCGCCGGCTACGCTGGCGAAGGCCTTCCATGCCGAATTCTTTACGATAGAGCGACGCGAAATCACCGAGGGACACGGTAACACCACAGGACCCGACGGGATTCAACTTTGAACGATCGGGGCCTCGGTCGGTGCGAGGTTGGTCGACGCGATGTCAAAGACCTTTGCGTGTGCCGACGCGGTACGAACCCACCGTGCGCGCGTCGGCGCGCGAGCCGCAGGCTGAGGGCAGGAGTGCCCACAGGGGGTGCAAACAGTCGAGCATTTGGTTCAGAAACCTCCTCCCGCAAAGCTGGGCTGCCGTTTCGTGTCGGGTATAGCCAGGACCCCGGTTAAGGGGAGCCGGTTAGTTAGTGATTGGTCCCCGAAGTCCAAAATATGGATTGGAAACACTAAACCAGGTCTGCCGTAGTTGATGCTTTTCGGGTTACGGCAATGCCGGTTAGTGGAATGGGACGGGGGGGGGCGCGCCCCAGTACACATCACTAAACCAGGTCCCACTAAACCCAGCCCGACGCCCGATCGTGGCCAGCTTGCCGGAAACAGCTGGCCCAGTCTTTTGAGCATTTTCCGCCCCTCCGGCGTTAACACCAGACATTGGTCCAGGCTTATTGCAGTGGCCTCCGGCTGGTGCTGCCGATCCGTGGCGCTCCCGATGGTGCTCGGGTCCGCCTGGAGGCTATGGGGCCCTCTTGGGGCCCTCGTGGGGCCGTCGCAGGAGGAGGCCTTTTGGAGGCTTCTTGGAAGCCTTCTTGGAAGCCTTCTTGGAGGCGTCGTGGGGGGTCTGAGCCTCTTGGAGGCTTCTTGGAAGCCTTCAGAGGATGTCTGGAATGAAATACTTGCTTTCACGTGCCCAGATCTTGTGGATTTCTCGAGCGAGACGCTTGGTTTCACGCGTCCAGGTTGCCCAGGCAGATGTCTAGCACGAGAATTTGTTGAGGATGTCTCGAGCGAGACGCTTGGTTTCACGCTCCAGGTCGCCCATGCAGATGTCTAGCAAGAGGATGTGTTGAGGATGTCTCGAGCGAGACGCTTATTTTCACGCGCCCAGGTCACCCAGGCGGATGTCTAGCATGAGAATGTGTTGAGGATGTCTCGAGCGAGACGCTTGCTTTCACGTGCCCAGGCCGCCCAGGCGGATGTCTAGCATGAGAAGGTGTTCAAACGTCTCGAGAGAAACGCTTGTTTTCACTTGCCCAGGCGGGGTTCTGGCGCGCTGCCTTTCTCCAGAACTCCCGGAGCAGGGCGGCGCGCCAGAACTCCGCAGGAATCGCGCCAGAACCGCGATTGCGAGGATGTCTAAAGCGGCGGCGCCGTGGCAGGGGGGGGGCAGGGGTTTGAACCCCCCCTCCCTGAATTCCAGGGGTTGGGGGGAGGGGTTCGAACCCTTCCCCTCCTTGGATAGGGGGGAGGAGGGGGTTAGTGGGGGGGAGGCCGGGGGGGGAGACCCCCAGTTTCCAGAGCTCGCGAGATTTTAAGGGTGAGGGGGAGACCCCCCGGTTCGCGCACGTGTCGCGAAACTTTTCCAAGGCACGCGAACTTGAAAACGCGCCCTCTCTTCTCTTCTACCACTGTTGCTGCTACTGCTGCTATTATTACCATTGCTATTCCTACTACTTCTGCTACTACTACTGCTACTACTACTACTACTAATACTTCTACTTCTCCTTCTACTTCTACTACTACTCGCTACAAACATATGATCATGTTTGCGACTACTACGAGTACTACCACTACTCATACTACTACGACTACTACTACTACTACCACTACTACTACTACTACTACTACTACTACTACTATCACTACTACTACTACTACTACTACTACTACTACTACTACGACTAGCACTACTACTACGACTAGCACTAGTACGATTATTATTTCCATGACTGCTACGACCCCTATTTTTGTTACTACTACTGCTACAAATACTGCGGCGACTGCGATTACTACTACTACTACTACTACCACTACTACTACTACTACTACTACTACTACAACTACTACTACTACTACTACT